TATTGAGCTCCTTTGAAGCTCTTCTATTTAAGAGCTATTGTTCAACGTTTTTAAATATCCTTGGCTGCTGTCTTGACCTGAGAAAACCTAAAGGAGAGAGAGAGAAAGAGGGAGAGAGAGAGGATCTTGTGAGGGGGAGCTTGTTAGGGAGTTCATAAGGGTTACTCCAAGCATTATTCCACTTCTTCTTCCCTAGAGTCTCTTGTCCTTGGAAGGGTTGGGAGAGGTAAGCTTCAACGATCGATCAAGGTTCTCTGCCTGCTTCAGGAGGAAGCAAAAGGAGTGGAGTTCTCTTCCTTGCCGGGGTGGCAAAAAGGAAGTGCTTTGTAAGGGCTTTTCCGCCTAGCTGTGGGGGCAGAGGGCGCCTCCGGAGAGTGGACGTAGGTCAAGTTGACCGAACCACTATAAACAATTGTGTTCTTTTTACTGCTTCCGCACTTTAATTTTCCGCACTTGTTTTTCTGTGGTGACTTTGGTTTGTGATATTTGTTATTCGTTTTAAAGAATTTTTTAAAATATCAATTCACCCCCTTCTTAGTTAGCCTCGGGACTAGTTCATAGGGCTTAACATCCCTAACGAACTTTCAAACTTGAATTTGTGTATTAAAAGACAAGGAATTCAAGCAGTAAGGAGTTTGACTTGAATGATCAATAATGAACTTAGTTTGAACTCGAACTTGAGTTGGGCCGTAGAGAACTTAAACTTGAATGAACTATAAAGAGATGAATTCATAACAGCATAGAACTTGAAATGAGTAAAACTTAAATGTATTTGAACTTGACATTGGACAAACGAATGACAAAATGAAGAATGACTTTGATTCAGACTACAATGAACAGAACTTGGATTTGAACATATATATATATATATATAATAGAACTTGAGTAATAGACAAGGGAACTCAAACTACAAGCTGCTTTCAAGGATATTTGTGTGGTCAATAGCAACTCCAATGTTAATGAAATACACTCTAATGGCAAGTTAAAGCAAGTAGAAATTACAAATGCAGGACAATTGTAGTGAAAATGTCATGCATACTATTGATGATTGGTCAACTGGTAAAAGAAGCTCATGCTACTTGTGCATATGAAAAGAAACATCTAATAAATGTGGAAGTATGAACTAAGCGACTTGCAATATGATGATATATTCATAATGCAAGGGGGTTCATAGTGAATGTAGTGAGCTACATACAAGTGATTATAGATAACGTAGCAATGAACGCAATAACTCAACAATAATTCAGCTTCAAGTAAACATGTCAATTCTCCACCGGGCATAAAAGGCAATCAATATTATCTAACGCCAAAGCATGGGAGGCATACAATCAATCTCCTACAACTAATGCTAAACATATACATCAACTATCTGCAAGCAAAAGAGGTTGGCAAGTGGTGACTTGTTAGCCAAAAATATATCCCAAGAGTTTAAAGTAAATGCAATTTACAGACAATTAGTGTCCTGAAATTTGGCCACCCGCTCATAGGCAATTGCAGTTACCCACAGACGCACATGATGCAGCATATGATGAATGCTACAATGTCCCTTCAGATGATGGTGATCAATCAACAGGTGAAGGCTACAGTTCTTTACAAATGCTGAAAGTCAACATGCAAGCAAATGCATCAACTCGCCTGCAATCAACATCAAAATGCAAGCAACTACATTCAGCTTGACAAGCAGTAAATAAGAGGAAATTTGATTACAAATAAATGTGTTGAGACTCCAAATAATACTATGAATTGCATGCAAATGATGATAAAAAGCCTATAATGCACGTTACATGTTACTTACAAGTAAGAATGAAGGCCCACAATGTATACAAGAAATGTGCAGTGAATATGGTAATTAATCAGCAATCACATATGTTGGAAGCTAACACCCGACCGCAACAAGCACAAATTCTTATATGCCGCCGTCAAAGATCCTTCGTAGGTGCAACAAGTTACCTACAAATATGGGGAGTAGGCATGTGATGAACGCAAGCATCCACAAGCTGTCATAACATAAGGCGATGAACTCTATGGCATCTTTAGATCAGTCACCGTTCAATGTTGAGCAAATACACATTGATCTATCACAATCAAACACCGAATGGTATGCAACAAATGCAAGTTCCCATGGACCCCTGTAGAAGACCCATCCTACACACCAAATGTCATCCACGAATAAAGTGACAAAGATCTACAACAAATACAATCTCTCATGAGCTACTATGGGAGACATGTTGCATTCAAATGGCAGTTTCCCACACAACCAAGCGGCGTCAAATATTCCAAATGTCATCCCCCGCACATGCACTATAATATGTATGCACATAGGTACACAAAGGGGCAAGTGCAATTACAAAACCTGCATGGGCCCCGACGAGCATGTTATGAGTACACACATGACGTCTAGGGATACTGTGCAGGTCAATAAATGAATGTAGTTCGAGCTCGATCCTTCTATATGGATATATAGGAGTCGACACGGCTCAAATTATCAAACAGATATACGGTCAATGTGTTGACCAAAATATCTATTTTATACGTTCATATAAAACCTTCAAGATCTATTAAACGAATGGTTCAATAACAAAGGCTTAAAGCCTACGAAACCTCATGTTTTTTCGGCAGCTCGACAAAGTTAACAAGGTTCAATCCCCAAATGAAAATGACTCGGTGTACCGCGATGATGGCCCTGTTGAATGCAAATTTCAACCGGAGATGTTAACTTCAAATATTTTAAAATGCCCTCAAACGCCCTTAAAATTCAAAATTTTGAAATACCAAAATTAAAAATTATAATTCTATCTCCAATTTTATTGATTTCTACAACATTATCCTTCAAGCACTTATTAATAATTACACCTGTACCATTTAAAACAACTCCTTGAATAACATACATAGTTTAAATTCTAAACTATCAATTTTCTTAGTTTTTTCTACAACTCATTTAATTTCCTGAGTACATAAAATACTTATTTTCTTATGAATCATAAAATCTATTAATTTCATTAATTTATCTGTAAGGATGTCTATATTCCTAATTCTAGTTTAATGGACTAACTTCTTTGCCCACATCTGTCCATAATGTGGGAACTCTTGTCTATTTAACACTGCACCTAAGCGCCGGTTCAATGGCCCTTGCACATTTTTTTGTTGTATTCAGACCATACAACACATCGCTTACAAGGATCTCCCTAGTATTAACATAATATATTAAATGATTTATGTCATGATTATTCAACAAATTTTATACTTATTTATTGACTACATAGCATAACCTTCAACTTTTCTCATCAAGGCATGAGACTTGGCAATAATATTGTTTGAAATTAGATCGAGCATGACCTTAAAATTGCCTTTTGGTTTAAATAAATTAAGAGGCTAAATCCAATTAAAGTTTGGTTCAAAACCAACTTGAAGATTAGACTAGCCAAATAAGTAGCTTAACTCGAGCTCAATCCAAAAAAAAAAAAACTCTATTCAATCTTTTAGCAAAACTATCAACCCTACCATTAAACGCCCAAAGGGCCACTATCACTATCCACAATTATCAATATAAAATAGTGACATTGTATTCTGTAACGAATTTGCACGTAAGGACATTTACTATTGATTATGAGATACATGAAACAAGAACATAAGATATGGTTTGAGGGATACCACTGTATTCTGTATCACTATCCACATTCCACAATTATTAATATAAAATAGTGACAATGTATTAAGTATTACTATCCACAATTGTCAATATGAAATAGGGGCACTGTACTCTATATTGAATTTGCACGCAAGGACATCCACTATTGATTATGAGATACAGATACAAGAATATATGATATGGTTTGAGGGATACCACAATTATATTAATGATAAGGAACTAGTCACATACATGCTATAAAAGGTCATCTAAATTCATACAAGGATAACCTAATGGCACTGAGTTATTTAAGGGTGATCCATAGCACCAAAACATCCATAAATAAATCAAATAATATTAGCGGATTGGAGAAAAAAAATCAAAATGGTCCATTGATTCTTTATAAGGAATTAAAATAGTCCCCAAATATATTAACGAATCATTTTAATCCCTCATGTCTTAAAAAAGCAATCAAAATAGTCTCATTCCTCTTTAAAGAATTGAGGGATCAAAATAATCTTTTAATATAATTGGAAATTGTTTTGATCTTTCATAAATAGTCAATGGATTATTTTGATTCTTTTCTCTAGCCGATTGTTAAGCCCACAAATTTTGGTCGAAACTCCAATGTTTTAATACATAATCCACAAACTGCATCAGGTACCTACTTTCAAGATGATGCATTTTATAGAAGGGAGTAAAGGATCAGGTATCTTACTTTCAAGATGATGCATTTTATAGAAGGGAGTAAAGGAGGTATCCATTAAGGACTCATTCTATCTATCTCCTCTGGATCTATGCTAAAAGTTAAGAAGATTCTTCAGCATCAATTGCTACAAACCAAATGACAATGTGCAGACTTTCTCAATGGGAATCTGACAAACTTTTGTTAGATCTAATATTCAAGAGACTATTTCTCTTATTTATTATATCAGAAAAATTTAGATCATAAGAACCTCGAAAAAACCAAAAAGTCTTGCTTGCATCAATCTTCAAATGAAACATCCAACTACGTTTACATTTTACCATGATAACTCAGATTTATCCATCATTTTAGAAAGTCTGAAAAAAGTTTGTGCAAAAATAGGAGATAAGCTAGAGAAATTTCAGGAATTTAAGCAAGTGCCAAGAATACCAACATTTTGAGATGATCGCTATGATTAGGGGCAGGATCAATATTTTTTTTTAAGATGGGCAAATTTATCATGAAAATAAATTAGGATAAATTCCAGTAAAATGTTCTATATTAATAATAAAGCCTAGTATTTTAGCAAATGAAAAATGTGAAGTTGTCACATAAAGACTGGTGCACCCATCTGGCAACCAGATTCTAGAAAATTTTAAAAATTAGAAAAATGTTACTTCTAGTTACCTCAATAATCCCTTTACGTGGTGCATGAATTGCTAAACATAAGTAGTAGTCATTTTTTCTAAGTCCAGGGTAGTTTGAACTAGTTGACGCTTTGTCTTTGTCAATCATTGCCTCCATAAAAAGACAAGATGCTTCCCGGTAACCCTAACAGGTTAAGGAAAATCGTACAAAGTCAATAGTCAACAAAATCAAAACCCAAATATACCCAATTAAAAGATGTACCTTCCAAAGTCGAACAACAACAAGTGCTTGAGTATCCAGCAAAAGAATCCTGCCAAGAGAATCTGTTATAGCAGCTAATGTACCACTAGGGCTGACGGCAAGTTTCTCTCCTTTCCTTGGTGAATCCTTCAAGCATGTCAAAGGTGACGCTGCCACAAATATGCTGCTAGAAATAAGTCAATGACAAGTAGTAACATGCACATTGATGCTGCTATTTAAATTTCCATTTCAAGCATATAATCTTTAGAATAAATTGGATCTGAAGATTGTTAAAACTAGGAAATGCAGCCAAATGTCTGAAAGTTGATATCATTAAGCATGGTAGCCTTATTAGGATCCTGCAGCAAATTGGCAACTGGATGTTCTCAGGCATGAATGAATCTTTAATAAAATTAGATTGGAAAACGCGTCACATTCTCACCCCAAAAAAGAGGCACAGGAAAGAAGTTGGGTTAGCTCATCCTGCTTTAACGTGCAAATCTAACTTGAAGAGAATCAGAGAGAATTCACGTGTTACCGCAGACTGTTTTAAAGTCATCCAAGAATATATGCACGCGGCCTTGTCGTTAATTGCAGGTCACACCTCTCTGGCAATATTAGAAACTAAACTAAGGCCTCTCCTTGCTCGGCTTAAATATCATGAACATGTATCTGAAGTCTCAATCATGTTCTATGGCATTCCCAACATCTAACGACACTGCCCAAAGCACGAGCCACCTTTTGACTCTCTATTTTACTATTAATTCAAAAAACGTATAGAAAAAGGGCAGCATGATCGCTCAAACTCCATCTAATGATAATAAATTATTCTAAAAGAGGATATCAAAATGATGCATATAAGACACAGCCTCCACAAAAAATAATCCTAAAAGTATCCAATCTCTCCCTCTCCTTTTGCTCTTCACCGTAAGCAGATGCAGCTTTTACATGTTTCCTCCCTCACTGCCGTTTCTCTATTTCAACACATTTGCTATCAATGTACCATAATTGGATTTTACAAAGTAACATTAGTCACTACTTTTGTCAGACATAAAAATGTTGCAACCTTTCCTTTATAAATTTTGACACAAATTTAAGTGAGTCCGGTTGTGCAAGTAGTGACAATTGGTTAAATAGATTGTGCCATCCAGGAGTACGCTTTTATTTATCATAGTTTGATTGTTCGTGAAGAATAAGATCTACATCATCATAAATAGGGGCAAAACAAGCCTTAATTTTAAGGAGGGTGGTGGGGTGGGGGTGGTGGGCAAACTTATAAATAACTGTTGGTGTTACCTCGAATTTGGCTCAACCCTTCACTACAAGAAAATGGATCATCAAAAAGAAAGCATGATATTAGCTACAAAAAAGAAAAATTCTATTTAGTTTAAAAATACCAAGTTCAACACAATTATATCCTTGTGTATCGAATTTTAACTGCAAATAAGGATGACTAAAACAATCAAGCATTTTCTAGTAATTATTTTTAAGAAAGCTGGTTAACACAAGTTATTCAAAATAAGCTTATATAAATGATGATAAGCATTATCAAAGAAAAGAAGGCAAGCAACAAAAATTGATTTGCACCAGGTGTGGAGTTGTTTTTTGAGTAGAAGACTCCCTCACTAAGATAATCACTCAATTAAAGGCTAAGGACACACAAAGGGAGATACGCATGACTTTACAGAGTAGTTAACTAATTGGAAGATTTTGCATTCACGATAGGCTTACAATCACTAAACATAATGGACTAAAATTGCTTTTTCAAGTTCCTACTCCTAGGCTTAGCTCTAATACTAAAGTCGATGGTGATGGGAAGCTTCGTAAGTGAAGTAATGACTAAAGTAATGACTAGAGATGACAATGGATGGTTTGCTTATGATAAGGAGGTGTGATTTATAGTTGATGGTGTAAGGGGGCCTTTAGGGTTTGTATAAAGGTGGAAAAACAAAGACTAGCTCAAATGGATATTGACTGATTGATTTAACTCATTTTGGAATGGGTTTAGGCCTTTAGGGATGGTTACATAGTAGAAAGTGCTTATGGAGGGGACTAGCTTAAGATATGTGGTTATGATCTAGAGCTTTTGTGACGTTTTAAGAGCTTTAAGGGATCGTGACAGAAAGACTAATAAAACTAGGTGATTGTGGACTAGTCTTAGCCGATAGGCTTAAGGAAGATTTTAAAATTATTTGATGGCTATGGGTGATGATGCTTAGTCTTGGGAGATGGCTAAGGTGAACGGAAAATGATGGATGGGTTTGGAAGAGAGGTACTGAAGAGAAATAAGATGCACCAAAAGATAACTAACATTTCCTACCCAAGGAAGGATAATGGCCGACCACCAAACTCCAACCAACAAAAGAATAATTGTCAATAATTTTTTATATCATTCAAAATTGAAATTTTTTTTCTATATATCAAAACTATATATAGAGTTTATAATGACCCTCAGACTACCATTAGTCAAAAAAATGAAAGTTTTTGGATTAAGAAAAGAGACTATTGATGGAAGAAGATGCTAACCATCCATTTAATGGTCAGCCAAAACCTTGACTAAAGGTGAAAAAAAGTGCAAAAATGATAGAATGCAAAATCGAAACTTGAAAATTTAAAATATGAAATTTTCTTCATCCTTGGGCACTTATAATTGGACCTGTCCTAGTTTGAGCATTTTGATGTGCATGGGCCCCTGTTAGAGTTCTTGTAATTGGGCCTCTCTTAGTTTGATTATTTTGATTATCTTGATGTTCTACATCAATTGGTATTCTATTTTGGGCTCAATCTTAAGCATTGCATTATAGAGATATTAATTAGATAATACCTACAAACTATTCTGAATGTCAATTTTAAAGCTTCGGTTATTCTTGTTTCTGAATTTCTATGTAACGCATTAAAACCATCATAGCAGTTACAAGCTTTTATCTTAATAATAGTATAGCCATTATTACCAAAGCAAAGTCAATATGGCACAAATGTAAAATTTCACATACTATAATGCATCTGATAGGTTTTCAGTTATTGCAAATGTTAACTGGAACTGAACTGTACTAACTATACATGGAGGAATTCATTTAAAAGCTTAGTTGTTTGTCCTACTGTAAAAATATGTAAGACTTTTACCATACATTGCGCCACATTGTGTTGTTCATTCTAACTATTTACTAAATATGTATATTCCTGAAAGTGACAGAGCTTTAAGTATCTTTTTCTCCATCATCATATAGTAAACACCAGCAAAATGGCGGCGAAATTTTAAAAACAGCATTTCTTTTAAATTTAAATTATACAAAACGATAGTTAATTTTTTTTTTAGCGAATCAAACAAAGTTGCCACATGGCTGGCGATTTGCGTGCCACCTGATGGATTTTTTTCCACAGTACTGATGCAAAAAAAAAATGATAACTATATGTTTTTTTGCTGCTGTTATAAGAGTTTTTTTAAATTTCTTTTGGTTTACATTTTGAAATCTAAAAAAATATTTTATAATACTAAAAAACAAAATTTTTCCTGAAGTTTTAGTTCCTCATCTTCCAAAACATATTAATTGAATTAATTGCAACCAACTAAATCATAAAGTCTAATAACTAGACTTTCATAAAGTCTAATAACCAGACTTTAAATGCTTGTTCTTTTCAATTAGAATTATGATGGTTCTTTTTCAAAAACACAACTTACTAACTTTATCAAAAGAATTTTGTTCATTGCTTTTTTGTATGCTATTTAGTTTTGTAGAATATTTTTTAGATTTCAAAATATAAACTAAAAGAAATTAAAAATATGTTAGGATGGTAACAAAAAAAAAAATACAAAGAGTTATAATTTTTTTCATATTGTTTATTTCAAGGAAAAAATTCGTGCAAATCGCCATGTGACAGGTAAGTCGCCATATGAGGGGCGACTTGCCTATGTGGCACACAAATCAATTTCCACATGGTGACTTGATCTAATTTGCTAAAAAAAATTAACTTCCGTTTTATATAATTTAAATTTCAATAAATGTTGTTTTTAAAATTTCACCCAAAATGGCATACATTAACTCATTGAGAAAGAGCCTTCAACTCCATCCAAAATGCCATCCATAAATTGTTAACTACAAAAAAAAAAAAAAATTATTTTC